GGTACCACAAAAAAAAAGAAAGAAAGAAAATTCACTTTTAGAACTATTAAGCCAATTCACTAACTTTGTATTTATATATACACAGTTCAAACACTAAAGTTAGCTTGCTGTTCTTATATGAAGTAATGACTACTGCTAACTGTATGAATAATTACTTAAAGTATAACTTACAAAGTCTTCTTTTCCACACAATGTACAGATCAAGAACATTCACTGGCTAGGAGATGCAGCTACAATAACCATATCTCAACAATCTCAATACTATCAATAAGTGTATACCTTCTATTCTGAAAGTCTGCCCATGTCCTAATGTCACCCGATGCAAATAAAGAGGCTACTTTAACTATTCTGAACTAAAACTTCCCACCCAAAATTAACACACACCAAGATATGTTTACTCTTATATTATTTGCAACAGCCTTTTCCATATCAGTGCAAATTCTAAGAGTGAAATTGCAACCAATAAATTAGAGAAAAGATGAAGAGTCAAATCCTATATACTAATTCTACCTTTCCTGACAAATGAATACATATACTCAATACTTAAACAATCATTATTCACAGACCAAAACACTTTCAAGCACCTAGGAAAAAAATGTATGTGGCAGTAATATGGCCTATAAAAAAAGAATTAAGGGTATCAATTTGCTCAGCAAATCCTTACCAACTTAGTTATTCAGTCTAACCTCAACACTGTTGATATCTCTAAAACCAAGTAATTTCAAAGCTATCAAATATTTGCAGAAATTATTTCTGACCATAATCTCACAAACTGATACAAATGTCTTAATTCATTATGTCTAAAACAAATCCTAACACCTTTTCTTAATGGATTTAGGTTACAAAATGTTTTAATTCTCTATTGCTGATTCAATATCAAATGTATCTAACAAAAATGAGACACACAAAAGGAGTCCTGCACAACATTAACTTCAGAATAATTTTTTGAAGTCAAGGTTTCTACAGAAAAAAATAAAGGTACCAAATATCTCAAACTACACTAATACTGTATCTTCTGGAAACTAAAGCCTTATAAAAATGGCAGAGGCCTAACAATTCAAGTAAATAAAAAAACCATCATATCCAAATATTCTTCTAAAGTTTTCTTATAAAACTCTGAATTTGTGCCCATTATCAATATATTTCTAAAACTTTGTATTACTAAAATGACTGAGGTAAAAATCTAAAAACTAAATGTTTAGTGAGTGAATTAATGTTGAAACTTTGTTAACTTATTTTCCTACAATGAATAATACTCCAATTAAAAGCAACTAAAGTGATTTCTTTAGAAGTGGCTTTAAAAATTTCTTTTAAAAATTTTTTTAAAAATAAAAATTTCTTAAAAGGTAATAAGCTATCACCAAACAAATGTGAAAATAGGGACAAGGACAAATTCCAAAATAAGAATATTTGAAATTAAGAATTGAAAACTTCACTTCCAAAAAGTTAAGCATTTAATAACATCAATAAGTTTACACATTTACTTAGTGATTATGAGGAGGTATACTGTTCCACGTAAAAATATCACTAGCTTCCTGTCTTGTTATTAAAATCTAAAATGCAATAAAAATGAATCTTTCTCTATCTTTCTAAAACTAGGTCTAAAATTAAAGTGGCTACACTTCATCAAATTTATTTTTATTTAGTATTTAGTATGTTACAAGCAACACAAATCTGCATTGTTGTAGTTGTGTACAATTGATAAAAACAATACAATTCCTTTTGTTTATATTAACAGTCACCAAACTGTAAATTACCCCTGCCACTGAACTTTAATCCTGAAGATTTATAAAATAAAGTTTGCAAATTATTTTACAAAAATTAGATAATACAGTCGTGTTTTTCAAAAGACGTCATTTGGTCAACATAAAAAAGACTGTGAATAGTTTTCTAAAAACCTAATAATTATTTTCAATAATCACAGACTAAAAATATAGCTAACTTTAATGGTCACTGTACTCTCTACAAATTAAAAATATTTCCAAGGAGCATCTATGTCTGAAAAAACACAAATCTAACAAATAATAAAACTGCAACAAAAGCCTCAAGTTTCCACATACTCTAGACACTAAATTTTTCAGTCTCATATTCATCAGTCCTTTCCAAACTATTAAAACTCCACTAACAAATTCTTGCGTTAATTCAATTTTGCACAGTATTTTAAAACTGAATCATCATCCACAGCTTCACTCTGCGAAATCCCTTCATTAGCAAATAAAAATATTCCATTCATGTTTTCATAAGGAATTTAACTTTCACCAGGCTAGTGGCTAAAATAAATAGACATTACAACCTGCCAAGACAAAGTCTTCAATGACCATTCTAATGCCTCCCCCCAGGAAAACATTGAAGTGAAACCAAGCAAATCTAAGTACTTTGGAGTATCAAAATTACTTGGAATACAACTGTCAAAAGAGCAAGGACTTCACTGACGTTTTTCGTATCAATATTTGGCTCAATAAAACCACAACTCTAGAAATTAAGTGTTATTAGTCATTTGATACTACTTTCTACGCATACCATAACTAAAAGTACAGTTTTAGAGACAGTTTTAAGTTATACAAATTTCACATGCAGAAGTCCACATATTATGACTTTGCTCACATATAGAGATACTAAGATCATATAAACCTTCACGAGTGGGAAAAGTAAAAATAGCATAATCCCACTCTGAAAGCTGAAAGAAATATACCAGAGAGCATTCTAATAATTTCTTTGTATGTTTTTTAAGTTATATAGAAATCTAATTTATTCTTATGTATCTAAAAGTTTCTCTTTATTCACACCAATACTATGCTGCTTTTGAAGTTAAGTCACAAATCAGAATTTTTCCCAAACTATGTTCTGGGCAAGGTGGTCAAGTTCAGCCTGCAGAAAAGCTTTTCAGTTAGTGCAGACTCCAAAATAACCTCACACTGTATCCTTTTAAAATATTATTTTTAGCTGAAAACTTAAATCTTGTAGTTACTTCTCCAATAATTTCATTTCAAAACAAAAACAGAAAAATTAACTATGAACAGTTACATGCAGCTAATAATATCCAAAAGAATAAAAGATTTTCTTCAAAAAAAAAGACTTCTCACATTAGCAGAGGATGCAGACTTTAGTGTCATTCTACCTTTAAACAAAGTATTTAATGGTATTTGTTAAGAAGTAATTTAGCTAGAATACCTCATAAAACTAGTGCTGTTCAGCGGTAGTGTGCTCACCCAGCCTGTGGAAGGCCCTGGGTTCACACTCTCGCTCAGTTTAAAAGGAAAAAAAAAACAACTATTAAGAAGCAATTACATAATTTTAACTAAATACTGTCCACTGCTACCGTTCAGAGCACCAAACGTGGAGTCTTAAAAGCAGCCTTCATAGATCTTAAATGCTTCAGTCACTTCAGGCCAATAATTTATTTTCATACACTCACTGGCTCTCAATTACTAGCTCTTAATTCCTGTCAATACTTTCATTCTACAAAAAGGAATGCTCTATCACTATCCCTGATCAAAATCAGTTTGTTTCAGCTGAAACTGCAATGATTTTCAATATCCACTAACTTTTTGAAGTAAAAAGCCTAATTTTTAAACAAATAAAACTATACACCATTAAAATTCTTGAGTTTTTGTCTTATTCAACAAGCGAACTCCATGAAGTTAATACATTGTATGCAAAAAGCTAACATATTTTCTACACCTGAAGCAAGGGAATTCATTCTTGCCAGCCTTTCTGGTTATTCACTGGTAAACTATACCTGACATTCTACACAAATCAAAGTAAAATTAACGGATAACTAAAAGGTGTCCTAACACCTAAAACCTAAAAAAAGGGTGAGAACAGTAATTTTAGTTCACAATATTTAATAAATTTCAAATGAGAGTTCAGATTTAATCTGTTATCATCATTTGCAGCACAGTACCCTTGAAACTACAAGACATTATCATTCGGATCAAAAACTACTCACTTTCTATGACAAGGCCACTGAAAATAAAAAACTGAAGGGCTGGGGATTTGGCTTAGTAGTTCGCCGCCTGCCTCGCAAGCTCAAGGTCCCGAGTTCGGTCCCCCGTACCACCCCTCAAAAAAAAGCTACTAAAAAGCAAATTTCACACCCTATCCTGCATTGCCCCATCAGAAAAGAAAAAGACCAATTTAACAAAGATCTAATAAGAGTTCCTTATAAGGTATATTATGGCACTACTGATTTCAAACTACAAAACTTCTAAATGCAATTCAAAGTTATGACTTAATTTAAACGTACAAACCTACCTTTGCCCACAAATGCTCACCACACCGGCTGAAAAGGATTCAGCTTTTAAAGTTATGCAAATCAGTCCACAACTCACATTTTAAAAGAAATCTATCAATGCAACCCAGGAAACTAAAAGCAATCACTGCAAGATTCTGATGCAATATGTGTACGTGCAACACTAATTTTCATTTTAATCTGATCTATACTCTTGATCTAGGGCCTAAGCCAAGATTTAATCAAAATATGTTGAACCTCAAAGCGTCTACTTTTTTTGTTCATTTATTACACCGGATTACCGAGCTCACTAATCCACTACCAGTGTACTGTACTCTGTATTAACGGACAATAGCCCTCGGGAAGAGAACACAGAGACAGACTAAGAAACCAATCTGTGCATTGACACTTGCAACCAGGCTTGAGTTCCGTCTAGCGAAACACACCCTACCATGAATACACTGAAAAGAGAGGCAAAAATATCTGTGCGAGAAATGTGAGCAGGGTTAAATGTTATAGTTCCCCCAAACTACGGAAATTTTCTGCATCCGTCTACTCCTACTTCGGAAGAGAGTGACAGAAAAGCAAAGAGAAGCAGCCTCAGAAATGGATACAGGTCAAGTCTAAGTCGAATCCATCCTCTTGATATCTCCTTTTGTTTCTGCTAACGATCTCTTTGATGATGGCTGTCATGTCTGGGAGCCTGTGGCTGAAGAAAAAGGAGGAGAGAGATGGCAGAAGCTGCTGGTGGCGAGGCTTCTTCTGCAGGATGGAGATGGCTCTGGACTTGGTCGCCGATGCCCCTCGCTCTGCTGCCGCTTCGTTCTGGACCGCGGCCGGGTAATGGCTGCTGCGACGGCTGCTAGATGGTTGCAGCGACTGGGCCTGCTTGTCTTCAGCAGCCAGCGACCTGGCAGCGGCTGCAGCGGGATGGGGAGACCACGAGCAATCCTCGGAACGGCTGCCTACCGCAGCAGCCTCCGGAG